AAAAAAATACAAAAACGTGGTTTTTACAGAAACATACCAACGGACAACTTGTCGCCTCGGCAGTATAGGTGGAAAAAAAAATCATTGTTGCGGCATTTGAATAGTGGCCGGTGATCATGATGTCGCCTGGTGGTGGGGGTGCCAACTTTGAACTGGTTCATAGGGAAAATACAAAGGTGTAGGGATGCACTGTGTGCGGTCAACTGTCACAACAAACCGGGTACTGACCATTGGATCGGTTGATTGGTATATAAACTAATTTAATAATTGGGGACATACATAATACCTAATGCACACACTATTAACTGATAAGATTTATATATTAAAAAAACTTGTATAAATTCTGCAACATTACAACATATTCCTAAATTCTTAATAAGTAAACAGCCATTTTTTTTAATTAGTATCAATTTTAATTAACCTAATTCAATTAAGCTAAGTAAGTCAGGGACAGTATAAAAAACTTTGTTGCTATTATTTGCATGCCTATCGAGTTAAAAGTTTTTTAGTTTTATCAACGCAATTATATCTTATTATTGTCCTGTGAAACTTTAAATCCTAAAAAGTTTTTTTGTTATAGTTAGAATGTATTTTTATATTATCAAAAATATAGGTCAATTTCTAACTTACAAGGAGAGATGGTGATGGGAGCGCTGATTTTCAAAAATATTATATGAATTTAATCTAAATTAAATATAAAGTTGCATTTACTTTGAATTTTTTTAAACGAGAAAAATGACTTAACTGACAAATAACCATTTGAACTACCTTAAATAGTCTTTTTATCCTCTCACAGTCGTAGCAACCTGTGGGTCAATCGGTAACGTACGAGTCTGAAGCACTTGAAGTTAGGGGTTCAAAACACGCGAAGCGGTCTTATTTTTTTGCACTTTTTGAATATATTCATAAAACATTTTAAAAATATTGTCATAATATTTTTTTTATAATATTTTAGAAATATACCTTTAAAATATTGTGAGAATGTAATATTAGCTGCCAAAGTATATTCTGAGAACATTGTGAGAATATTTCAAAATATTCTGGTTATATTCTAGAAATATTTTAATATCAAAAATAAATATTCTAGAAATATTCTAGAAATATTTCATTGCTATGTGGGTATCTACAGATATGCATTGAAGCGTTTTTTAAGATAGTAATTTTAATCACTGTCAGATATCATCTATACTGGACCCAACTATGCCACGACCCTGTGCTGGGTTTTTTTAATAAAAAAATTTTTAAATTATTATTATTCTGCAAGTAATTGAGTGGGTTATGATAAAAAAATCACCCTGTATAGCACGTAATTTAGTAGTAATAATACGTATACAATTGGTACATACACTTGTTAAAGCATATGATGTTAAATCGTAACGGTTCGAACTACAAACTCTCAATAAAAATATTAATACAATGATACAGTTTTAGAACATCGGAAAAGGATTATCGGCAAAACAAAACAGTTGTTATTACAGCTACCTAACTAATAAACTTTATTTTATAAATGTTACTCTTAAGCTTACTAAATTTATACCGAATCGAAGCACAAAAATGCTACTTCAAAAACTCCCTCTTATATTGTTATTTTTTTCTAACACGTATATAAACTGCACCAGGCATTTACAAATGAGATAGTTCTACAAATCAATGACCCATTTATTAAAATTTCATTACAATATATAAACATTTCGAAAATCAATACAAGATTTGTCTGAAATAAAATAAAAAGATACTCTTATAAATTTTAATATAATATTATTAATTTTCTCATTGTATTACCAAGAAAGATATAATGGGCTTGTAATAGCTGAAATAACATAAATAAGTTTTTAATTAGACGATATGTTTATATAACTTGAAAATTGCATCTATTGTGATTTTTTAAACAATTTTTTTAGTAATAACAAAAATATTTGAAATTAAATTATTTCATGCATTTTAAATAAAATTACTTTTATTTTCGAAAATACAGTGATAAATTATGATATAAAATATACTTTAGGGCCGAACATGATGCTCGATAACTATTATCTTATGTAAAGAAGTCTCTCATCAAAAAAATTATTTAAGTAGGAAGAGGTCAGGAGCACTTAGAAACATTTTTTTAATACTTGAGTTATAATACAGATGTTATTTTTGTTCTTATAATACGCATTCAATAAATAGCTGCATAATACACATTTATTAAATAATTAAATAAAGAAATAAACAACTACATATTATCGGCTACGTAGCAAATTTCATAACACATTTCGATAAATTTTAAAAAAATAAATGAAAAAGTGCCTTATTTCATAATTTTGGATGTAAAAACACTGTTTAATATTTGTCTTCTAACGTGAAAATTTAAGATATTTATAAAAACATCATACTTTTGAGACTAACAAATAAGACAATTGATTTGTAGAAATGGTGACAAATATCAAACAAATTAATAAAACAAATTATATAAGAATTTATAACACTCTTCAATTAATTATATATTCTTAAAAATCAAAACAAAATAGTATAATTATTAGAAATGGATATACATTAATTAGATTTAAACTATGAGCAATTTTTAAATTTAAATGGCTTGATCAGACATCTTGTATATAAACCTGACTTTACTGACTGACTTTCTANCAGACATCTTGTATATAAACCTGACTTTACTGACTGACTTTCTAACCAGAGTATAAATAAATGAATGCAACAATATAATTGAAATTAAATTCAAGAGTTATTATTATAGATCTAATGTCTTTATTTTAGGTACAGTCTTTATTGTATGCCAGAAACCAAATTTCAGAAAAGTTTCAAATATTGATATTTTTATGGTATTAAGACAATATTTGATATTTCTGATTATTTCGTTTCTAGGCTTTCCTCTTTCAACTATGCCGTTGTACCATTCGATAATTTTCGATGGAGTTGGCTGTATTGGTCTACAGTTATTATTCATATAATCTCGAACAATATTATATAATTCATCGAATTTTTCGTCTATAAAATTGTCATTCTTGTTGTTTGATGAAGCTAAATAATATACAATGATAACAAATGCATCAATGTTATTTTTAAGTTCCATATCAGTGTAATTTGAGAAAGAAGAAAATGCAGCCGGCCAATCTTCAATGAAATTTGTGAAAGAATCAAATTCCATTATTAGTTGTTTTTTACATTTTTGTTTTTCTGCTGTATGTTTTTTACATTCTATCCATAATACTCTTAAAAAATCTGTATATCCTTCTAACATCTTATAGAAATTACAGCTCAAGAACAAATAAAACTGTCTGACTTTATCGTTTTTATTTTGAGATGTAACAAAATCCTTTGTTCCAAATCCATCAAGCAATTGGTCCATGGTAATTTCTCCATTATTTCCATCATTAATATGCAAGCCGTTTCTAAATTTTGTCCACTGTAAGTATTTAAAAAATTTTTCTAATTCACAAACTTTATAATTAAATTTTACCATTAAGGCACACTTTTTTGAATGCAGGAAATCAAGATTCAACAAAGTAGCTATAAGTAATATTTTTGTTTTATTAAGATGAGGTCTGACTTTCACAAATATTTCTCTGATGGTCCTATTTCTAACGTATTTATTGTAGTGATCCATTATAATAGAAGGAGTTGGCGGTTTTGGTCTACAATGATCATTCATAAAATCTCGAACATTATTATCTAATTCATCAAATTTTTCATCTAAATCTTTGTCACTATGTTTCTTTGATGAAGCTAAATAATACACTATGTCTACATAAGAATTTATGTTATTTTTAAGTTCCATTTCAGTGTAATTTGAAAAAGAAGAAAATGCAACCGGCCAATCTGCAATGACGTTTGTGAAAGCAATAAATTCTCTTATAACATAATGCTTACAACCTATTTTTGTGCCAGGGTATNCTTATTACATAATGCTTACAACCTATTTTTGTGCCAGGGTATTTTTTACATTCTGTCCACATTATTTTTACATAATCTGTATATTCTCCTAATGTCTTAAAAAGATTGCAACTTAGCAACAAGTAAAACTGTCTCGCTTTATCGTTTAGATTTTCAGATGTAACAAAATCACTTCTAGTAATTCCTTTAATCAATTGGTCCAAGGCGATTTCTCCATGACTTTCATCAATAATATGCAAACTTTTTCTTAATTTTAACCAAAAAGGGTTTTTTAAAAATAAGTTTAACTTAGAAACTTTATCTGTGGAATTTACAAAATCAAAATTGAGAATAATGCAAATCAAACCAAATGAAAATAAATAATTATTATACATTTTCAAATATTAAATTTTAGTGGTGTAAAATACAAGTGACGTTAATAATATTTTCATTTACGATTGCTTCAATATATACAAATTATGTTATTTACATAAAGAACATTGACAGAAATTATTTTTAAATTATACCTTTTAGTTAAGTAAATTTAAAATGTGATGTTTTGTTACTTATAATTTAAATACTATATTTTATAACTTAAATTTTTTTTAGAATAATATCAAAAAATTACTGTGATTCTATTATTATTTTGTGCTTAATAATTCAAAAAAAGTCTTTAAACATTTAGTGTTAAAAATTGTCTAGAAATAAAATTTTAATGTAGTATATTTTATTTACTAAGCTGC